ACTCCCGAGCCCAGTGGGCGGCAAGGTCAGCGCGCCCCGGACCTGGCCCGGGTCTGCGCTGCAGGCGTTGCGGCAAGGCTCCCACCGACCCGCTCACGGGGCAGAGCAGGGTACGTGCGGATGCTGCCACCAGCCAGCACCTGCTCGGGCTAGGAAGAACACACCCGTCCGACTGTATCAGCGCACCCACCCAGGTCTCCGGGCTCAGCATGGGGCGCTTACCGTCAGGTACCCACTGGGCTCGGGAGTGGCCAGAGGAACTGTCACAAAGACCGTAGCTGCTCCATTTCGCCCTGTGTGCTTGGTCGGAGTCTATTGGTTCTCCACCTCCAGCAACAGAGCTGTTCTGTCATGTAACCCACTTTTTGTTGCAGCAACCTCAGCCCTCAGACTAGCCAAACAGCCAGCTTGTCAGGCCGCTAGCGTTCTGAGAACTCTAACGCGCATTGCAACAAACTTCACGCTTTGAAGAGGGCAAGGAAAAGACCAAGTCACAAAGCATCTAGCAACTAATTACAGGAAAATAACAGACTATGTGTACATATCCCCAGACCCCTCTTATCTAAATTACATTTTAGAGACGCCTTCATTTGTGTCTATCAAACACAGCTCACGCTATTTTTTGAGCATTTAGTATCCCCCCCTCCCGCGCCACACTTTCCAGGTGTTATGGGGGGGATACTTTGTACTTAATGTAGAATTTGCGTAAATATAGTAGTATATATTATTATCTGATGATAAAACTGGTAATAAAAATGCCAAGTGCAAAGGTACTATTTTAAATACCTTGTATAGAGCTATGACTGCTCTGTAATAGAGCTTCGGGTGGCTTCAAACTCCAAGCAGTCATACAGCCCTCCTACTGGGGTTACAGGCATGAGCTCCCAAGGTGGGTTAAGACACTATGCCTCGGAGGAATTGTACTGAGGCACAGAGATGAAACAACTTGCCTAAGGGAGCAGAGTTACTCTGTGATGGCAATGAGACTGAAACCCAGGTGTTCTGATATCAGAACCCAAATTGCTGTTGAGGACTGAGGCAGCTAGGCATCACAACCCACAGCTACAGGATTCGTGTTAACAAGAGTCCCTGTTTTTTTTTTTTTTTCTTGTGAAACTAACATTGAAGAGCAGACTGCGCCTTCCATGTGGTGTGGGGTACTCACCTTTAGAATCATGTCAGGCCAACAATTTCAGACAGGGACCATAGAACTGTCTACAGTGTGCTATTCCTAGGCTACTTGATGGGCCTATATGGAAGAGAAGGCTGTTATAATGTCCTCATAGAAGTGTCCAAAAAGGAAAGAATTTCTTCTTTTCTTCAAAACTATGTCTTGTGCATCTGTAATATGCCATTCCTTGAAGAAACAGGAAACAAAAAGGCACCGTCCTCCTGCCAAGGACCTGTAATATCAACCCTGAGGGGTTCACCCTAACACCCAAGGCAATCACTTCCCTAAGCCCCTGTAGTAGTTTGAATGTAACTGGCCCCATAGGCTTATAGGGAGTGGCACTATTAGGAGGTGTGACTTTGTAGGAAGTGAGTCACTGAGGGGACGGGCTTTGAGGTCTCCTATGCTCAAGTAACTGCCCAGTGTCACAGTCCACTTCCTGTTGCCTTCTGATCAAGATGTAGCCAGCACCATGTCCGCCTGCATGCTGCCATGCTCCCTGCCATGATGATAATGGACTGAACTTCTGAACTGTAAGCTGCCACCTCAATTGAATGTTTTCCTTTATAAGAGTTGCCCTAGTTATGGTGTCTCTTCACAGCAATAGAAACCCGAAGACAGTCCCCATCTCCAAACACCGAAGTCAGCTTCAGTTTCTCCTTTTAATACCTCAGCATAGTAATTCAAGACCTGGCACCCTGGGTTTCATCTGGGAGTGGTGGAGCATGCCTGTAATACCAGCAGCGCTGGGGAGGTGGCAGCAGGAGGATCAGGACTTAGTCATTCTAAGATGCTGGTGAATGTGAGCCCAGCCTGAGCTACACGAGACTGTTTCAACACCCCCCCCCCCCAGTGGGCTTCATTCTGGCGTTTTCATGGTATATCTACTGTGCCGTGATTACTCCACCCCCATACTCTCCGTGGACACCCTTCCCCTTCCCAAGTGCTTACTCTTCTACTTTCAGGGTTATATTTTCCCAGAAGAATCTAGATTCGATGTAGGAGAGAAAAGGTGAAACCTGTTTTTCTGAGTCTTGTTATTTCGCTCAACACAGTGATAACTAGTTCTAAGTCCATCTACCTGAAAATGACACAATTTAGTTTTTATATTAAATAAAGCCCTATTGGGTATATAAACTATATCTTCTTTTCCATTTTCTTTTCTGTTGATGGACATTGTGCCTGCTAGTCTATGTCAACTTGACACATACTAGAGTTGTCTGAAAGGAGGAAACTTCAGTTGAGAAAATGCCTCTGTAAGATCTGGCTGTAGGGCATTTTTTTTTTTTAAATAGTGATTGATGGGGTTGGACCCAGCCCATGGTGGGTGGTGCCATCCCTGGGCTAGTGGTCCTGGGTTTTATCAGAGAGCAGGCTGAGCAAGCTAGTGAAAGCTTACTAGTAAACAGGGCCCCTCCATGGTCTCTGCATCAGCTCCTGCCTCCAGGTTCCTGCCCTGTTTTAGTTCTTGTCCTGGCTTCCTTCCATGATGTACTGTCATTATTATAAGGAAGTGTAAGCCAAATAAACCCTTTCCTCCCCAACTTAGTTTTGGTCACGGTGTGCCGTCACAGCACTATAAGACAGGTACCAAGGCCCATTCCGTATATTGATTTCTGTGAGCAGTACCACAATAAACATGCATGTACAGGAAAAAGATCCTAGACCCTCAATACAACAGTCTCTTTACACCCATTTGCCAAAGAAGCAGTGGGCTTTGTGCCTATTAGGACTGGTGTGGTAGTTTGAATGTAATTGGCCTGCATAGTCTCATAGGGAGTGGCACTAATAGGAGGTGTGGCCTTGTTAAAGTGGGTGTGGCCTTGTTGGAGAAGTGTGTCACTGTGGAGGTGGGCTTTGATGCTCAAGATACCACTTAGTGTTCCTGTTGCCTTCTGATCAAGATGAAGCCACTACCTTGTCTGCCTGCATGCCACCAAGCTCCCTACCATGATGATAATGGACCGAACCTCTGCACTATAAGCCAGCCTCAATGAACTGTTCTCCTTATAAGAGTTGCTGTGGTCATGGCGTCTCATAGACACAGAGCATAGAAACCCTAACTAAGACTTTGAAAACCCTCATCTGAGACTGCTGTAGTAAAAATAAAAGAATCAGAGCTTTCACGACAGGGCGCATGATTGGAAATCTTTATCCTGAGCATCAAAGGTGATGTAAAACATCCATATTTACTTATCCGCTTTTCCTTTCCCATAGTTTTAGAAGGAGAGCCACGTCCTTCTGCAGACTGCCAACTCACCCACCTGTGCCTTTGATCACATTTCCCTTTGTTCCTTCTTCTGCTTGATCTACTGTCATTCTGAACCCCAGCTTTCTCCCTTATTGGCTCCCCCACTTCAGCCTATAAACAGGACCAGGTTTAAGAAGCTTTTCTACTGCCTTGTCTTATTCCAGCTGCTGCCTGTCACCGGTTGAGATTTTATGTGTTACAAATTTAATCCTCAGTGCCACAGTGTTGGGAAGTGAGGCCTGAGTCAGTAGTCAGAAAGGTGCTGCCTTTGGGATGGGTTAATGTCGCTAGAGTGGGCTGATCCCAGAAGCAAGTTCAGCTCCCCGCCCCCGCTCTTGTCCTCCTGGCTTCCACCATGAGATGATGCGGTACAAAGACCACACTCTTGGGCAACCCAGCCTGCCGAACCATGAGCCAAATAAAGTTTTGTTTGTAAATCATCCAGTCTGCAGCCTGGAATGGACAAGAAATTGCTTAGTCTGTGTCTAAGCTCAGGTTACACAAGTTAAATGCATATAGTTCTTTTTTTTAAAAAAATATCAATTATATGTCAATAAAACTGTTACGAATCATTTGCCCACTTTTTGGGTGGGCCTTTTTTTTCTGGAATATGTATGTGAGAGTGTGCATGTATATGCATGTATATGTGCATTCACTAAACACTGAACATAGCAGACAAAACACACTACCACTGACCACAATCCCAGTCCTATATTTTTGTTTTTGACCATGGTTACTAATTTATAACTCCTGTCTAAATGCGAGTTATAGAAACTCTCGTCTCTCCTTGCCTTTAGGTGGCTGTATAGAAATACTTACCTAATAAATCACAAGGTCTCCCTCACTTAGAAGGATCCTGCCACATACACTGGAGGAGGAATCTGGCAGGCCATTCTTGGGGTTCCCTGCCCAGTTTAGTAGAGCTCATACCTATTTAATACACAAACACCCCGAAGGACAGAATTTGGACAGCTTTTTGAAGCAGAACATACAGAGACTTGCAGGGAGGAGATTGTAGACGGTTTGGCATGCTGAAAAGGTAGAGACTCCCGTGTTTGAGATCTTTGCAGGTGAAGACCTATGTATCTCTTCATCTGGGTGCATATCTGTGTTCTTTAAGAACTTGTTTAGGGCTCCATAAAGGATCGTGTTTCCCTGAGTTCTATGAGTGAGCTTGC